TCTGGATTTAGGCAGTTTTGGAAGGTAGGAGGCATTCTGCAGGCACAGTGTGGGGAGGCTTACCTGGGGGACTGAAGCCTGGGTCTGCATGAGCAGTGCACTCCTGACTTGGAGTTCCCAGGAAATTGCTCTCTCATAAAATGAAGCAGTCCCAGGGGAGGGGGCACCTTGGCCCTCTGGGTCCTGGCTCCTTCGACAGCTGTGGACATCAGCCAAGCAGACCCAGACATTGACATGACAGAAGTCACTGTGGCCACTTGCTCTCTGGTTTCTGTTTTTTGTTTGTGCGTTTTCCTACAGACTTGGGGCACTGGTCTTGGCAGCCAATGTGGTTCCACCACTCCTACCCTTTAGTCAAGCTTCTCTAACTTAGTGAGACCCTGCAGTAGAGGGTCTAAGTCACCCTGGAGCCCTGTTCTTCCTTCTCGATCCATCTACCTCCTGGTTCTACTGCTGTGCCATGTCTTCGTCTTCATTAGGCCTAGCATGAGGCTTATTGCTGCAGGCCCCAGTGATGGAGATGACCAAGGTCGAGGCCAAGAAACAAAGCCGGAGAGGTAGCCACAGCCGAGGCAGGTGCCTGGCAAGTCAGCCCAGGCCCTCTGCTCTGCACCCTGCTTACAGCCCGGCTGCTGTGCACTGTGCAGGGGCACCTGCCCTTCAGGAAGTAGGAGACTTTGCTGGAAATCTGTCTTTAATCTTGGCTTCCTGTTTTCTGCCCTGGGGGACGCCCAGAGTGGCTGAGTTTCAAGCTACTTCACACTAGCTTCTCTAAACTATCATCTCCGAGCATAAAAGCTGGGGGAGGGGAAGAGGCAGAGAGAAGCAGCAGCAGGCCCTTCCCTGCCAGGGAACCATGGGAACACACTCCAATCAAACGTGCTAAAGCTCGGGACCCCGCCCCACCCCCCACCCCACTCTGCATGCAGCTGGGCCATCTGGTCCCTTCACCCAAATGCTGCCAGAAGTCTTTATCTCCATCACCCTTCCCTCTCTAGCCTCCTCTTTTCTCCACTCTCCTGGAGCTAGCCCACTTCCCAAGAATGAGCCAGCGGCCCATGCTGCCTTGATATGTCCATACATTACAGACAGTTCAGACTCGACTTAACCAACACTGCAGTTACATTCTTGAGTGTTTTCTCGTCCCTGTCTGCCCTCCACCTCCTACCCCAACTTGCTGAGTCGTCTCTCAGGAGAACCCCACCATCTCCTAGGAGGATCATGAGGCCTCACTGACCACAAAGTCCCCCAGGGAGAGCTGACCTGAGACACTCCTTGTCTACTCAGGCCTGTTGATCCTGCTGAGACCCATGGCCTCCTCAGACCACACATGCCTCTTTGTTGGGCTTTGGTTTTTGTTTTGTTTTGAGATAGGGTCTCATGGAGCCCAAACTGGCCACAAACTTCCTATGTAGTCAATAATGAGCTACATAGGATAATAATGAATTTGTTATCCTTCTGCCTGAAGATCCCAGTCCTTGGATTCTAGGTATAGATCAGCATGTCCATTTCATGTTGTATGGAGATGGAACTCAGGGCTTTATTCATGCCAAGCAAGCACTCTACCAACTGAGCTACATCTTGAGCCTTAACTAATGATGCACCCCCCCTCTTTTACTGGACTTTTAAAAAGTGTGTGTGTGTGGTGTGGTGTGGGGATTCAACCATGCCATAGTATGCCTATGGTGGTTAGAGGAGTCTGTTCATCTTTCCTTCTGTCATGGAATCCAGGAATCGAACTCATGTTTTCAGGCTTTGGAAGTAAGTGCTTTTTAAATTTTAATTTAATTTAATTTAATTTTTTAACCTGACTAGCCATCTCATTGAGCTTCTTAATGACTCTTCCTAATGTCAGGCCCCTGCTTAAGATCATTCAATGGCTCTGGGTTACTCACGTAATGCAATCCAAAACCAGGATGCATTGCTGGTCCCTTTTTTCAATTTCATCCTTCTCCTCACTGCTTTCTAGTCTCATCATCTCAGCCTCCTGACTGTCCCTGAGCCACTGGGTACTTTAGTATGTAGAGTCCTCAACCTTCCTTCCCCTTCACCCAGATTACTCTCCCCTTCCTCCTGGGGCTAGCCCCACCACTCAAAGCCAAGAATCCTAGCCTGGGAGTGTAAGGCTTACAAGCTGTCCTGACATATTCATACATTGTAGGCAGCTCAGGCGCAGCTTAGCCAGGGTTGCCTTTTTCTCTCCCTGAGACAGGGTTTCTCTGTCAAAGCTGCATTCTAGAAAGGCCCTTCCATGAATCCAGATGCTGACTTTTTGATTCTGACCATTGAGGTGCTCAGCTGTAGCTGACCAGACTGGTTTTCTCTTTTCTGTTTTGGACAAGAACCCTCTTGACTCATCTCCAGCATAGTGCTCACAGCTAGCAGGTGTTCCACGTTTGTTTTTGTTTTGTTTTGTTTTGTTTTGTTTTGAGAGGGAATGAGTTCGTGAATGATGAACTCAAGTGGTCCTTGCACTATCCAGCTCAGGTTTTAATTCCCAGTGCCCAACTCAGAAAGGTTAATTTTTCTTTCCCTTACTTTGCTAAGAGGTGGAGCCAGGATTCAAATACAGGTTTATTTGGTTCCAAAGGTCATCCTCTGGGCCCCAGCACACTGGGGGTGGGGAAACAGTGTTTATGGGTAAAGGAAGGTGTATCAGTTGTGAAACTGGAGCAAGGATTTAGATAGTTACTCAGGTACTTCCCCTCAAATCCCCACAGCCTCCCCACCACCTAGCCCTCTTATGAGACAGTTGAGATGCCAGTCTCTCCCTTCTTGAAGCTTTGCAGGCTGCTAAAGCCCTTTCCTTCAGGCTGAGCAGCACACACACTGCCCACCCCCCCAAACTGGGCCCATATTATCACTCCATCTTGACCTCAAAGGAAAGAAAGCGAAGCCTGATACACACACACTCACACACACACTCATACACCATCACTTTAGGCCTGTTATCTTGCTGAATCTTCACTCTCCCTCAACAAAGAGGCATGCTCTCAGCCTGATCTTACAGAAGAGGAAACAGCTCAGAGACCTTAGGTAACTAGTTCAAAGCCACACACTCTTAAGATTTAGCCCTGAGATTTGATCCCCAAATTCCTGTGGGGGTTTTTTGTTTGTTTGTTTTCTTTTTTGTTTTTCCACTGTGTCACTTACTGGATGTCTCCACCAAAGGTATCCCTAGAAAACTGGTTCCTTGTAAGCAAAATGATTCTGGCATGCTGGATAGGAGGATCAAAAGCTTTGGTCTGGGGTGGGGGTGGGCTTCAGCATACCCACCTCCTGCTCTTACCGTTTGAAGTTACTGGCAATCTCACAGAACCCTTTTCCTGTCCCCTTTTGCCCCTCAGTTCTTACTTTACTTTCCATTCCAGGTCTGTGCCAGCAGCCTCCTCCCCTCTCCCGTCCGAGGACCCCACTCCAGCCCCCCCTCCCCCCGCCCCGTTCCTAAACTGTTTGCTTCCTTCGGCACCTCCAACGGAGTGTCTGGTTTCTCTCTAGCGGCCGTGCGTCCAGCCCGTGCCTGAGCACTGCTTGCTCTCTCGTAGCTACGAGCAAATTGCTTAGGGAGGATCCTGAGTCCTCATTAACAATGGTATATAATAACAGTCCGTGTTTAATTGAGGACTCACCACGCGCCCCTGCGCACCAAGCACTTTAAGCCTATTAACTCATTTCCTCTCCGCAAAACCTTACCAAGTTGGTGCTATTACTTTTGCTCGGGTTTACCAAACCACGATGCAACAGGACAGAAAGCGGCTGGGTCACTTGTCCCAACAGCCGCTGACAACTTCTTATTGCTTCCAAGCCGAAAATAAAGTCCAAGAGAGTTCCGAGAGGCTTTTCGGATCTTTTGCCCCCGCAGCCTGCAGGAACCCTTCTCGCTGCTCGCCCTACCCGCAGGGTGAGCGGCAGCCTCCCTGTCTGTGAAGTCACCCCGTGCGCCTTCTTTCCTATTTCCTGTGGGCCTTCTGCATCGCCTTTCACTTTTATCAATTTGTTCTTTGAAAGAATCTATTTGCCCCAACCCCGACTGAGAACTTGACAGAAAGAGTTTTTAAGAAGTGGACTCCTGCCGAGTGGTGGTGGCAGCGGCACACGCCTTTAATCCCAGCATTGGGGAGTAGTATGTCTGAGTTCGAGGCCAGCCTGGTCTACAGAGCGAGTTCCAGGACAGCCAGGACCACACAGAGAAATCCTGTCTTGAAACAAAACAAAACAAAGCAGAACAACAAAAAAGTGGCCTGCAGAGTCAGCCCCCAGGAAATGTTTGTTAGTAAATAATGCATGCACGCTTACTGCCACAGAGGAGTCTAGGCCTAACCGCCACCCTAGCACGGGAGCTTCGCCTAGAGAAGGCTGGGAGGTTGGCTCTAGCGTGCTGGTGGCTCTCTGGAAGGACTTTCGGGAGCCTTCGCGAAGGCCAGCAAGTGGGGGCAGGGCGTGGGCGCGGACACACCCCCCGCACTCCCTCCGCGGTCCAGCAGAGGGCGCCGACCCACGCCCCGCTGCGCGCCGGGCAGGCCCCCTCGCGCAGGCGCGCCGCAGCGGGCGGAGGATCCGGGCCGCGCTTCCTCTCGCCAGGCCTGCGAGCTTCCTCCCCTCGGAGCCCGGGCGAACTGCGGTTGGCCGCCGCCGCCGAGCCTGCCGCCTCCCTTGCCCTCCCGCGCCACGCCGAGCCCTGCCCCGGGGACCCCACCGGGGTCGGGTCCGAGCGGGGCCAACCGCGGCCGCACCGCCGTCGGGGCCGTCCCCGAGCCAGCCGTCCCTCCCGCCCCGCCAGCCTCCGGCCGCCCAGCCTCCGGGGTGTGGGGCGCAGGCACCCCCCGCGGGCCGCGATCGAACGCCCGGGGCGGCCCCCGGCGGCCGGCGCGACGTCCCCAAACCGAACCTCGGTGGCCGCGTTCGGAAGCGGAACTCTGCCGGGGCCGCGCCGGCTACATTGTTTCCTCCCCCCGGACTCCCTCCCGCCCCTTCCCCCGCCTTTCTTCCCTCCCCGACCCGGGCTGCGCGGCCGTCCCCCTGCCTGTCTGGCCGTCCTTCCTCCCTCTCTTTTCGCATCCATACACCTCTTTGTACCGCACCCCCTGGGGACCCCAGCGCCCCTCCCCTCCTCCTTGGCCGCATGGACTGTCCTGCAGGCCGCTGATGCCGCCCGCGGTGAGGTGGCCTGGACCGCAGTGCCCCGAGAGAGGTGAGTGCTGGGCAGTCCGGGAGGAGGTGGGTGTCCCGGTGTCCCCTGGAAGGAAGGAGGTTGGTCGTCCCGCCTCTGTAGCCAACGCTGCCTCGTCCACACCCTTCTCCCCCCCCCCCCCCCCCCCGCCCCCCTCCCCCCCCCCCCCCCAACGGGTTCGAATTCTCCCGGGAATCACTGTCAGAACACTACTGGGAGGGAGCCACGAGGGAGGTACTACCCTGCACCACAGGAGACTTGCCTTAGGTCGGATGAGTCCTACCCCTTAACCCCCGTGTGAAGCGCAGTGGGAAGTAGCAGGACCCCGGAGAAAGGGAGAAAGGGAATCCGTGTGGGCTGGGAAAATGGGCCGGACTCCCGGGAGTTTGTCCTTTCCTGTTCAGGGCTTCCCTGAAGGTACCCTATCTTGCTTGGCTCTGAACTCTTCTTAAGTCCTGCATTGAGGTCCTACTGGCTCCAGGCAGCCCAGGGCCGTGCCACCTCCTTTTAGCCCTGACAGAAGCCCGGGTCCTTGAACTGAGCCTGTCACCTTTGGCCTGCCAAAGGACCAGGCTTAAAGCAAGGGACCTCTGACCCTTGGGTGGAGGATGGGCAGAGCTTCCAGTGTGCGTGGAAGCGACACTGGGCATTGCTACTATGCCCCTACCTTCTAGCATCCTCATCAGCTCATTTTCCCAGGCTTCTCAGGACCCAGACCAGCTATTTGGAAGGGGTGTGTCCAGTCACTGGATATTTGGAGCTTAAGTAGGAGCTTTTTTTGATCATTTTGTACACCAGGGAACCGAGGCCCAAGGGGCAGGTCATATTCCAGGCCTCTGGTGGAGAGAGGCTAGCTGTCTTTCATTCTCAGTTCTGTAGCCATCGGTAACTGTAGGTGAAGGGGAGCCAGGGCCACCCTGGCACCCCCTAGGGACACAGTCAGTCCCCAGCCTGACCCCCAGAAGGGACCTTGTGGGGTGAGCACGTGTTCCTCTGCAGAGGGCTAGAGGCGAGGGAAAGGGCTTCCGGCCCCAGTGCTGCCTACTTAGTTGCTGAGACATCATAGGTAGTGCTTGTGAGACTTCCCTTGGTGCCTGGGACTGGGTCCTGTTGGTGAGGGGTGAGGGGTGAGGGGTGTCCCTGTGGTGTGCAGAAGCCTGCTCCTGGCCTGCTTTCAAACAGTGTGGTGGTTAGTCCTGATCCCAGCCGGGCTCACTCAGAACCCAGATGGGGTCAGTATAGGCAAAGTGGGAGACAGCCTTGGCATGAAGGCATGGTTGGGGCAGGAGTGTGCACACTTGGGACCTGTTTCTGTTTCCCTCTACCCTGGATGTCAGGGTGATGGCTACAGGAGGATCAGGCCAGAGGCAGAGGAGTAAGGTTGTCCGTGCTGCAGGGTCTTCAGATCCTTCAGGATGCTGAGCGTTGCCTGGACCCCCTTGAAGCCACGGGCAGTTTCGTCTTCCCTTCCAGCCCTTGCCCTTGTTTAAGGTTTTTTCTCCCGTTGCCCTGAGATTCCCCGGGTGGGGGTACTCCCCGCCTGTGAGGCTGTACTCACATAGCCTCATGCCCAACCCGAACTTCCTGTCCAGCCTCAGGGGCTGTGGCTGGGCCTGACATGGCTGGGTGCTTCTTACGAACTTAGTTGCAAGGGTGTGGCCAGAGTCCAGAAGCCTTTTAGAAAGCATCTGAGGTTAAGCTAGCATATGTTCGAGGCTGCGAGTTTCATTTGGTGAACGAATTCTCCCCTATCAGAGCGGCTATTCCTTCTGTGTTGGGATGGAAACAAGGAAAGACCAAGAAAGTAGCTGCCCTCCGCACTACAGGGGCACCGCCATGCAGAGGCCAGCCCACATGCAGTGACCCACAGCAAGTGTTGGTGGAGGGGCAGCTGCCTTCACGCCAGCACAGGTGGGGATGGAAGCCAGGGGCCCACGGTGTTACTCAGCCTCCCCACTCAGGTCCCTTTGCGGGGTCCATCTTTGGAAAAACTTCAAAACCTTGGCATATAAGCCCCAAAAAACAGAGATGTTGAGTCTGGGAAAGGTCTGAGAGAGATCCTCTCATGTCTGAGAGAGTGTCCCAGGTGGGAATAGATGCTCCATAGTCGAAAAGTCCTGAGTACCTGGGCCAGAGCTGAAGGGCAGGTAAGACCTAGGAAGGTCGGCCTGAACTCCCATGAAGACCATATGTGCTTAATTTTGTTATTTAGAAAGTAACGAGGCCGGTGTGTGGTGACGCGCACCTGTGATCCCAGCACTAGTCTTTAAAAAAAGAAGAAAGAAAGAAAACAAGCCCCAGAAATTTTAGAAAACAAAACAAAATTACCTGCTAATTGCCAGGCAGGGACTATCAGCTGGTTAGAGCCCTGTTTTCCTGACTTTCTTCCTTTGTTGCTCTTGCCATTTAAATGTGTGCACCACAACTCTTTTTCCATTTACTACTGTGTCCCTGGGCATTTCTTGAGCTACCTGTCATGGTAACTGCCTCTAAAAAGCTTCAGGGTATTTCCAGGAGCTCTGCCGCAGCACCGTCACCCGTCACCCGAACCCTCTCCCTGAATGTGCCGCGCTTCCATCTGTCACTGCTGTGGGCTGTTACTACACACCCCACAAGCAGCTCGTGGGGAGGAGGCAGTTTAGCAGCCAGCCATGTGGGTTCCAGGCCTGAGCATAGCTAACAGGGACAGGGATCCTTATACCTCGGAGGACACTGAACTAACCCTCCAAGAAGCTAGAAGGAGTCCAGGCCGGTGGCTGTGTGGCTGCCACAGAGTGGGAGAAAGGTCCCTGAGCCATGGACCCCAGAATGGATGACCTCTCACCCATTTTTGTTAAGGTGCCCCAGCGCCCCTGAAAGCCTCTATCTCTGCATTCTAGGCTGCTGTGTCTGTGCTGTGCCCCACTCCCTTCCCATCACCACGTGACAGAGCTGCCTCAGAGCATGGGGCTGGGCCTTGGGAAGATAGGCTGCTAGTTGCTGTCCAGGGCCTGACCCCACCCATTCCCTTCAAGGCCTTGGAGTTGAGAATCACCACCCAGCACAGACATAGTGGTTCTCGCTAATGGCTGTAAACTTGAGATCCTCCTGCGTCAGTCTCCAGAGCACTGAGATTACAGGTGTGCACACACTAGCCTACCCAGCCTGAAGAGTCACCCCGTTGCCTCCCAGATGCTGCATGGCTGACCTAGGCTGCATGTTCCAGTGGAAAATAGAGGGTTCCTTAGGCGGAGCCAGAGTTAGTCAGGCCAGCCTCAGTTTTCTCCAGTGGCCAGGGAAGGGAAAGCTTAGATTCTGGAGCCTTACATCTGAGAGTTGGGAACTAGGCGTATGTGCTGTTGCCCTCCTTTGCAGATCTAACCTGAAGGTTTCCACACTATGGGCAGTGGGAAGAAAGTGTTCTCTGCTTGGCATACCCTGGATGACTAGGGTGGTCCAGAGCTACCCTTCGTGCGGAGGACCGACGTGACCCTTTCAGTGCAGAAGTCCCTCAGGCTGGTAGCTTGGGACCCCGATTGCCAGTCTTTGACACACACATTCGTAATCTCTCTCTCACTCTCTGGTACTGGTGCCATGAAAGTGGTCATTACTACTGCCCTCCTGTCCCCTAGCTTCAGTGGGATGAGGTCACAGGGTTGGGTCTTGCCCAAGATGCTGGCCTTTGAGTGTTTCTCAGTCTTCCCCGCCCTTGGTTAGGGACAGGATGGGTGGAGGAGTAGGCTGCTCCCTAAACCCAGCAGGGAGCACTGCCTCCCTCCTCCCTTCTGGGTCCCTTCATCCAAGGGCTTGAAATAGAATTCGCTAAGTAATGATTAAAGTCAAATTCAGGCCTAAAAATAAAGAGCTGGAGAAGGAAGAGCTTGTGTGCTCCCTGCCTGACTGAGGAAAGATGTGAACAGGGAGAGACTGCCTTTGGGTGGCTGAGCCCTAATCCCCAGAGTCAGGAGTGCTCCAGGAATTGGGGGATGCTCTCTTATTGGGCATGGTGCAATCTGCAGCACCCATTGGTTGTAGACTGCGCGAATGGGGGTGCAGAATGAGAGAGAGAATCCATTTTTTTCCCATGAGGAAACTGAGGCTCGTTTAGTGAATTGACTTGCTCAGGACCAGCGGGGGAGCTCCCCTGAGTGTAGGCCGCAGGGCTAAAGGCCCCACACAGCTCCGCCCACCCTGTTTTGCCTGCTTTCTCTTCCTGGTTCTGTGAGAAGGGCAGCTTCTTCCAGCACACCCTCCAACCGCAGCTTCCCTCCGCCTCTCTTCCGTGGTCTGCACTGAGCAGAAGCGAGCTGCTGGTGCTCCCCGGCTGCCCTGGGCTCTGCACGGTTGGAAGGCTTGAAGGCTTGTGGGCGGGTGAGACCTGGGTGTCATCTGACCCGTACATCCTGGCTGCTGCTGCTCAGCCCAGCCCAGCCCGGCACCTGGTCCTCACCCAGCCTCGGGGCGTTGCACCCTCTAATGTGCACACTACAGGAAAAAGGACAGGAGGATGAGCTCACGGGAAGGCTGGCAGGACAAGCCTATGGTTCCCCCTCCTGCAAGGCTGCTACTGGGTTCTTCATGGGCTGGAACAGCTTGGAGGACTTCCCGGAGGGAGAGTAGGGCCTGTGAAAGCACTTGAGGAGGAGACAGAGAGCCAGAGGCTCCTGTTCAGTAGGTCTGTCCTCTGAGGGCTGCTGCCTTCTCTGGGTTGCTGTGAGGCTCTCGTGATCTGTCTGTGCAAAGGCAGGATATGCAGATGGCCAGGAGAGAGCACAGGTGTACCTCGAGCAAGCAAGAAGGACACAGTGTGAGTGGTTGTCCCTGGTGTTCCTGTTCTGTCCTTTGAGGATGTCATATGATCCTGCCAAGGAAAAGCTGGGGAGGAGGTCTGCTGAGCCAGGTTCCAGCATAACTGAGCTTAAGCCCTATTCTCACTCTTGGAAGCTGCTGGTGCCCTAGGTGGTGACCATTGGCAAGCTAGTCTCCTCCCCTGACTAGCGGGGTCCACCAGGGCCTGTGATGCCGAGGGGAGGAGTAAATGG